CTGATGTGGGACTCGATCCCAGGACCCTGGGATCATGACCTGAGCCGAAGGCAGACGCTTAACGACTGAGCCACCCAGGCGCCCTAAAATTCTCTCTTTAACCAAAAGACAGACCTGTCCTCACTTTACTCTCTTTAAATATGGGCTTCAGAACTCTCTAGTCTTGATCTAGCGTTCCTGTCTTTTTTATCCTTCATTGAAGAGTCTCTCCCTCCCATGCATGTCTGCTTCCAGTCCCTTGTGTTCTTAAGTTCTCCCTTCTCCTGAACTTTTGTTGGATTGGCTCTCCCTGCTAAGTTAGCGCCTTCTTTTTCCCCTGTTGTCTTCCAAACCTTCATAAACTCATATCTCATCTTGCTTAGCGTGATTAATTTGGATAGGCATCTTGTTCCTCTCAGCATTGAAATACTGTATGTAATTGTAGAATGTTCTTATTTTATGTATAAGAGCAGATCTGTTTGGCATAAGCTTTACAATACTCTATTTTACAACCCCTAGATTTTTATTAGATTGAAGGTCTCTGAAGAGCTAGACCATCAGGCGAAGTTTAGAAATCCTTATATTATTATATTCTATTGTACGGCTGTTTTAAGTGGTTTCGATAAACCATATTTCATCAATTCTAAGACACTGGGTGTGTCTTAAAATTGATTGGTTCATGTGGTAATACGCAATACTTTTTCCTATCTTGAGGTGCATAAAATAATGGTAAGTTTAAATGATTGATGACATGTTAGATTAGGTGAATAGGGTATTTTTTCTTAAGTTTTTTCCCCTGGAAACAGTTTGATTTCTGAGATAATTCTTATTGGTGGGAGGGGTCTTTATATTTTAGAGTTTGCTGTCTATTTAGTTTAGATCTGGAGAACTGGGTAGAGACATCTACCTAGGAAAAAAATAGTATTTTATATTACATTGATTTAAAAAATATTTTGATATTTAGGATAAGCCTGCTTTTAAAATGTATTTTTTATTTTTAGGTGGAAGATGAAACTGTTCTACATAACATTCCTTACATGGGGGATGAAGTTTTAGACCAGGATGGGACTTTCATTGAAGAACTAATAAAAAATTATGATGGAAAAGTACATGGGGATAGAGGTGAGCCCTGTATTTTTTCTTTTGGAAAAAAGTGCCAAAGAATTGAGAGATACTTTGAATTTTTTAAGCATAGGTATGAAAAAGATTTTTTTTTTTAACATCAAAAGTAAGTTTTTTGCTGGACTGGCCTGGGCCTGTTTTCAAGCCTAAACATTTTAATGTTTTCTGTAACTACTTTTAAATTGAAGAATTCATTTTTGCTATTTGAAAATGATGCATAGTTGGTTATAACACATTATAATGCCAGTAACATGTAAATTAAATAGAGTTGTTTGGGTGTTTGTAGATTTTAAGATTCCTTCACAGTAAGATTAGGGTCAGGGCCCTGCCCTGTGACGCATGGGCCCCAGAAGGCCCTGTGCTCAGAAGGACGCCCCACTTAGCTGCCAGAAGGCCCTGTGCTCAGAAGGACGCCCTACTTAGCTGCCAGAGGACCTGCACTTCAGCCACTGTGTCCGTGGCTTCTGTGTTTCCTGTCCCAGAGACCCCGACAAGGTGTCCGGCAGCATGGTGGCTTGTGTAACATCATCACTGTCCCTTCTCTTGGGAAGCGCTGTTGGGAGGAGGCTGAGGCCACAGTTAGTTTCTAGTGAATTAGGTTCGAGCAGCGGCACTGGAAACTTATGGGCGAGGCTGTAATTAAAGAGAAAGTGACAGGTGTTGAAGATAAAGTCTTTCTAACTTTGCCTCAGGCCAGTCTTGAAAATGATCTCCCGCCTCATTTTAACCTTGATGTTCTAGTGCTCATTAATAGGCCTTGGCTGTTTCTTCCAGGTTAGAAAAGGCATATGTAAACTTTTGTCATCACCACTTTCCTCTGTGTATTTCTGATATTTGACTTGATGAATTTCAGAATGTGGGTTTATAAATGATGAAATTTTTGTGGAGTTGGTGAATGCTCTTGGTCAGTACAATGATGATGATGATGATGAAGATGGAGATGATCCTGATGAAAGAGAAGAAAAACAGAAAGATCTAGAGGAGAACAGAGATGGTATGTCTGTTTATTAGGTTTGTTTGTAGCCATGACAGCATTTTTCAAAAACTAATAAAGTACAAACATATTAATTCCTTCTTTCTCTTTTCTTTTCTGAAATATCATATCGATAGTAATAGAATAAAAAATGAGAATATCTTTTGTAACATTTCATCCTCACTTGGGCGTCTTTATTTCCTTTGGCTAACAAAAGAACTGGTTCTGTTTTTGGGATTTTGCTGGGTAATCATCATAATCATCATAATATAACCTGTTGATCATTGACTACGTATAAGTGAATGGGCCCGTCACCCTCTGTGCTCCACAAGGTTTCTGTTAGCATCAGTCAGATCTATTTTATAGTTGAAGGGGCTGGCTTAGTGCAGTTAAGGAACTTAGGGTTACACTCTTGGGAAGAAACAGAACCCAGAACACTAGGATGGTAACCCTTCTGACTGACTCGATAGCCCATGCTTTTAACCCCTTCGCTAGTGGTGGCTTATCGGCCAGAGCCCGTAGCTGGTGGAGACTTGGCAGAGCACATTATTAAACAGCACAGAAGAATGTGGGGAAAAACCTCAATCTGAAAGAAGTGTAATGGTTATGTAACAGGCCGTGATCACGTGCTTCCTCTCCTTGGTTTTACAGTGAAGAAACAACCCCAGTGGATAGTGGCCAGTCAAGGTCACAGACCCAGTCAGTAGCAGATCCGGGATTAGAACCTGGGTCTTCTGCCTCCCGGTGGGCCTAAGACTTTCCATATTTGATTTTGAGTTTTTTGTTTGGCTCACCAGCACTCCATGGATACATGTGACGTACGTCAGAAATAAGTGAAACACAGAGTTGATAATTTCTTAGGAAATCGGCTTTGTTAGATGTAGTTGCGTGGAGAGAAGGAAGGATTGAAAACTTGTTTACTTTCATCTTTTTTCCCTTTCATATTTTCCCGTTTAGATAAAGAAAGCCACCCACCTCGGAAATTTCCTTCTGATAAAATTTTTGAAGCCATTTCCTCAATGTTTCCAGATAAGGGCACAGCAGAAGAACTAAAGGAAAAGTAAGATTTTTTTTTTGAGGCAGCCTTGCATGTATGGTATGCAGCTCAGCATTTTGGTTTATCAGAAACGGAACTGATGTAGCTGATGAGCCCCTGGGCCTCCTCTGTTGACTGCGGCAGGGTTCTCAACCCTGTGTCTGGGGCGCTCTGCTCAGGACAGTTACCGTAGGCGCCGTGAACACACGACGTCATTGACGGTCGTACGTGGAGAGGAGAATTTCTCTGGACACTTGCAGAGACGTTAGTGTCATTGAAGTTTATTTTAATTAATATAGTAACATTTTTCATGATCTGAATCCTGCCCGTGAACTTGATTTTTGATATACCATGCATAATTTTTAATTGGCTCTTCATCTAAATAAAGATTGTCATGGGTTAGAGCTTTCCTTGTGTGTTTGGGCAAGATGAACATCACAAAGAATACACGGCACCGTTTAGAAACTCTATTTTCAGAGAGGAAGTTTTTGCTCTAGCTTCACTTGCGTTTTTCTTGGTTAATGTTAGGTATAAAGAGCTCACCGAACAGCAGCTCCCGGGCGCCCTTCCTCCTGAATGTACCCCGAACATAGACGGACCAAATGCTAAATCTGTTCAGAGGGAGCAAAGCCTGCATTCATTTCATACACTTTTCTGTAGGCGATGTTTTAAATATGACTGCTTCCTACATCGTAAGTGCAGTTATTGTACGTTTTCATTTTCTATCTTTGTTGTGGAGTTATGTCTTAAAGCAACTTGGAAAGTGTTGTCACTTATTATAACTAGGATTTATCATTTAATCTGGCAGTTATGATTGAAAAATATGTTAGGATCAGAGTATCGTTCTTTTATACTTTGTTGCTTGAGGGTTGCTGTGAAGTCTTTTGCACGTATTTAATTTGAACCACCTGTCTTCCACTAATTTGGAATAGAGGTCAGTGGTTTTTCCATAAATGCTAACCAAGCAGTTATTTTGTAATAAAGCTATTACTGTGAATTAGCTGATAGCCTAGAGCAACACTGCGATATTGATGAACAGATTTTGTTGAATAAGAAATTGGCTGAAAAGATCTTATATATGTTCTTGTCTATTTAGTGGGTTTTTGTTTTGTTTTGTTTTGGGTGCTCTGAGGAAATTACTTTTAAAAATATCTGCATTTGGGGGGCAGCCTGGGTGTCTCAGTCGGTTATGCATCTGACTCTTGATTTTGGCTCAGGTCATGGTCTCAGGGTCGTGAAATCCAGCCCTGAGTTGGGAATCTACACTCAGCGGGGAGTCTGCTGGAGATCCTCTCTCTCCCTTGGTCTGTGTCCCGTTCTCCATGCACACTCACTCTCGCTTGCTCGCTCTCAAAAAAAAAAAACATCTGCATTTGGGTACAGGGAAAGCATAAAAATAAAATGTTGTTAATGAAATTTAAGTAGGTCCCGTATACTACTACTTTATTTTTCTGACGTTGCTGGGGAATGAGGTTTTGTAGGAAATTTTCCAGGTAACAGGAACATTTAAAACACAATTTAAAAATCACCAACTACTTTTGAGGCGCATATTTTGAAAACATATTTGATATCTCCTTGGTTTCCTAAGCAGGTTAGCTTCTTCCATATTCATTTTAGTGCAACCGTCTGTAGCCTGATCACACCGTTAGGGGCTTCTGACCTGTGTGAAGGCGTTCTCCCCTTTGCTAAGTGGCCCTTTTGAGTTCCTCTGGCTGTCTTTTTACAGCAGTTTTCCCCTCATTATCCGGTGGTACCTCTTAATGTTAATTAGCCTGTCCAAGCGGTTATATCTTGTCTCATTTTGAGTTTTTGCTCTGTCTACTTACTTTTGCTGTATCTCATAATTTGTTGTGTGGTACGTATCTTGACCTGGAAATGATTTAAGTGTGTGTGTGTGTGTGTGTGTGTGTGTGGTATTAGTGGTGTAGTTACCTTCAATTAGAAAAATTTGAAGTAGATTTTTAGAATTATTATATTTTCCATGTCCTTGCTGTTGTTAACCACCTTCCTAATCTTGATGATTTCGTAGTTTTAGTAATCTCTGGTATGCCGGCCATGGTTTTTTTCAGCCATTGGACAAAGATCAAATATCTTACTTGGGCTTGGCAGTTGTTGTCTTCCTACAGCCCTTGACATAGTTGCCTTGAATTGCATTTAATTCACCTTTACACACAGTCATTTTATAAACTATGTACAATTTTCATTAAAAATATTAGAAGTTGCCTTCAGATACCACTATAGCAAAACCAGTTGGGTGGGAGCTCTGAGAAATGGTCCTTCCAGTTTGTTCGTAGATGCAGCATTTCTTGAACCTTTTGTGTTGTACAAATGAATCAAAGGAAGTAAGATACTACTTTTAAACATTATTACATGAGTTATTTTATTGTGATCTTTAGATTTGAGTAATTTTGATGAACCTTGAACCTGATAATTATCTCCTTATTCAAGCTGGGAAGAAGATAGATAATTATTTCACTTTAGTGACGTTTGCTTCTGTGGAATGGCAGGCTGCTCGCTTGTAGCACTTGGGAGCAGTGGGTCCAGCAGCTGCTGTACCCCCCTTTTCCTTCTTTGGACACTAGAGCCAATCTCTTCATAATTCATCCTTGATAGATTCCCTAGGTATTCATTGCTTTCCATTAATTTTGACAAAATATCACACACCAAAGGTTTTTCCTAGGTAAAATGAGCCAGTAAAGACATTATTAAACATATGTATTTAATTTTATTTTTGTGCTTTAATTTTGTTTTTGTCTGTGTGAGAGGAGAATAACATAGTACTTCATAAGCTGTTGGTTGTGAGGATTAAATTTGTTACTCTGTGTAATTTACACAGAGTAAAATACTTAAAACAGTACCTGGCTTGTTTTTAGTCATCATTGTTTAAACAGATCATCATTCACATGATACACATTTCAAAAATGTATTAAAAGGTGTCCAGTGAATTCTCCCTTCTACTTCTTCCCTCATCCATAGAGTTTGTACCTCATTCTTTACACCACTCATGTCAGTTTTTTCTGGCAAAATGCAAAGATACTCTTTTTCTGGCTGTCCTATTCAAAAGGTATCATACTCTTCAGGCTTTTCCCTGTTTTGACTTAGTGAATATTGGTAGGTATTATTCCTGTCTGGAGAGCCGCATAGTCTTCCCACTGTGGGAGACGGGAGAACTTACTGACAGGTTCCTAGGGGTTAGCATTTGGATTGTTTGTGACTCCCGCGCTAACAGCGCACAGTGAACCACCTTGGCTGAACCTGTGCGTCATTTCCCACAAGTGCAAGTGAACCCGATCCACCGTGCTCAGATTAAGGCTTCGTTCTTTTGCATCTAACATTGAGTCACTGGAATTTATTCTCTTAGAATTTTGGGTCCACCCCTCCCCTCCACCTCCAAGGCCATCGAGTTACTTCCATACCATACCATTTCCCGGGAAGTTCCCGTTCGCCGCTGCACCCGCCGCCTTCATTTCCCGTCACCACGTGCCCTTGGGTCTCTTTCCTTTGCGTTTGTTCCTTGAGTCTTTCTGTCCAGGAGGCTTTATTCCGAGATCTTCTGGCTATTCTTGCTTGTTTTTAAATGTAACTTTTAGAATCTTTAGTTTGTCTAATTAAAAAAAAAAGTCTAGGTAGTATGTTTATTGGAATCCCATTAAATTTATTAATTACCTAAGGGAAAACTGACATTTTAAAATGAGGATTAAGTGTAACCATATGATCAAGTTTCCTTTTGTGTCCTTTAATAAACTCAAATTTTCTTCATGTAGCTCTTGTACGTTCTTTCTTAAAATGATATCTAGGTATTAATGGGTTGTTGCCTGGCTTTTTCTCTTTAAATCCTGTGTGTTTTATACCTTGATACCTTATCAATTGTCCCTGCTTATATTAGTTTCTCAGTGGATTCTTATTAGAGCTTTTGAGCTATGTAAGTAAACTATCTGCAGTTATTTCTGTCTTTCCAGTCTTTATGATTTTATTTTCTTGTCTAATTTCATTGGCTTGTATCTTCAGTACAGTGTTAAGTAATATTAGTACTAGTAGATACTTTTTTTTTTGGCTTCTGGATCACTTTTGAAATATTATTTCACTCAGGTTTTGAAATTTATTTGTATAAAGTTGATCTAAGTGTTCTAATTCTTCTTAAATGTTTCATTCTCTCATTTTTCTTGATGAGCTTAAACGGTGGTTTATTTTGAGAATCTGTTTTGTGTATTTTCCCCTCAGAGAATCAGCTACTGTATTAGATTTACTATTTTTCTCTTTATGAATGTGATTTTTGCATTGTTTCCATTCTTCTCTTTTTTTTTTGGTTATATGCTTTGAACATGAAATGAATTGTCTCTAGAGTACTGTTTCAACCTCTCTTAGGTTCTTATGTTTGGTATTACTATTATTTATAAGGAATTTTAAGGAATATTTTATGTCTTCTTTTTAACTCACTGTTTAAGGGAGAATTTTTTAAACTTCTGGGTGAAAGGGCCTTTTTTGGTTGTTGTATATTTCTTAATATTTCTGTGTGGTAGCCTTACTGATACTAGGTTATTTAGAGGTTGGGTGTGTCTACCATTTTTATCTATAAAGAAGATGCTTTGATGGTAGGGGTTTGGCAGTTCATCTTAGCGAGAGCTCAGTATCTGACCATGGATCTTTTCCATTAGAGGGACCTGTGCGTTCTAATGAACCTTGAAGGATGAATGGCTTTAGTTTGGGAATGAATCCCACTTTGTATTCCAAATAAATTTTAGACCTTGATGCATTCTGTAAATTGGAAACGGGTTGTTCTGCAAACTTGGAATCATAATTTCTTTATAAAAGCCTCAGCCTAAAATGGGCAGCCTGGTCTGTCTTTGACACTTGTTAGAGGAACCAGGGTCGGCTCCTGAATTGACTGTGGGTGGGTATAAAGAGGTAACACATTTCTGATAGGGAGGGAAGGAAGGCAGGCTGGGAAATTGAGGTTGGGAAATTTTATATGCTTAAATACAAAAGTAGAACCTTGGAATAAATGTTTTGCTAGGTTTCCTATTACCTGTGTGCCCTACAGAGGAATCCATTTTAAGCATAAACCCCTGTTCTGTCATTTCTGATATTATGTAAAAAAGTCTGTTCTTTTTGGAATTTGTATTAATGCTTATTGTAGAGCTTTTAACATTTAATGGTTAGAATTTCAGAAACAGTATTCCATAGTTTGTAGTTGATGGTTGACTTTTTTTTAGTATTTCAGATGTGTAATGATTAAAATTCAGACATACAGAGTTCATAATTGCCATGTAATTAGAGTGACTTAAACCTCGGATTTTAAGTCACCCGGAGTGATTCCCTAAATCTTGGTTTTTCTCATCTGTAAAATGGGGATGAGAATCCTCATACTTGGGGGATTTTGTGGGGATTAAATGAGGTAATGCCTAAAGCCTCTTACTGTGTACTTTGAAGACAGGAGCCTTGACCGGTAGCTGCCGGTGCGACCTGCTGTTACTACCGGCCCATGCTCTGAACATTGACCCGGTCATTTTGTAAGGTGCTTAGTATTACAAGTCTGCCGTCTGTGATATGCACAAGAATTTATGTGATTCCAACTATAAGTAGAGCAGTAAGAAGTTTTTTTTAAAGATTTATTTGTGAGGAGAGCATGCATGAGTGGGGAAATGGTCAGGGGGAAGAGTATCTTCAAGCAGACTTCCCTCTAAGCGGGGAGCCCCATATGGGGCTCGATCCCACTACCCTGAGATCATGACCTGAGCCAAAACCAAGAGTCGGACCCTCAACCGACGAGCACCCAGGTGCCCCTCTTCAATAAGAATTCTTTTTTTTTTTTTTAAAGATTTAATTATTTATTTGACAGAGAGACACAGTGAGAGAGGGAACACAGCAGGCAGAGGGAGAGGGAGAAGCAGGCTTCCTGCTGAGCATGGAGCCCCATGTGGGACTCGATCCCAGGAGCCCAGGATCATGACCTGAGCCGAAGGCAGATGCTTAAGGACTGAGCTGCCCAGGCGCCCCTTCAATAAGAATTCTTAATACCAAGTTCTAATCAGAGCAGACAGGATCAGTACTTTGAGCAGAAGCTAATGTATAAAACTGACACTTTGTACTGATCTGTGTTCATTGATTCTGTCATATTTATCACTTGACAACCAGCTGAAGAAGTATTTAAGGGAAGTGTTGTATTACGGAGAGGGGCGGTTTCTCTTGCTCCATGGGCAAGCTTGCTGGATGAGGGTCTCAGCACACCTGCCATCTAACTAGCCACACAAACTATTCTCTTTGGTCCTGTTTCCTAACTTGTAAAATCACCACTGGAAATAGGTGATTGCTGAGGTTGTCCCAACTCTGAAATTCTCTGATTCCCCAGGTCTGTGTTTGAGGTATCATTACTTGGTGAAACATTAGAAGGTCCTGAGGGTCTACTCTGTATTTTGGAGCCATTTTTTAGAATTGCCAGTTGACTCACTTACAGGGATAGGGAAGAGCTGGGACTGTCTATCCCGACGGTCTTTCTGCCTTTGAAAACCTTCACATTTTTCATCAAGGTTTTATAGGTTGCTTTTGAAATTACAAAAAAAAAAAACCACCCCAAAACCAAAAGCCAACATTCCATGTTCTCTCCTTTTTGTAAAGTTTTAAAGAAAGCAGCTTGCTTCAATTTTCTAATAATTTTCTTGATCAGGGAATTTTATATAATCTCCGCCCATAATATATTTTAGCTTGAAAAATATTTTAATAACTTATTTGAAATACTAGCATTTCAAGATGCCTATGTGAAAATATTAAGTATTTTGGAAATCTCAAATAGTCAAGACATTTCTAGAAGAGGGAATTCTTTATAATAAAGAACTAGTTTTCTTAATTGAAGTTTGAAATTCTGAGGGAAGTCTAGTAAGGAGAATAGTTCTCTTTCTTGAGCTAAATGCTATGTGAAATTAAGAATGTTTTTTACCTTTGATCATAAAGTACCTTTGATTATTAGTGTGTTAACTTTTCCTTCATGGCCAGACCTTGGCTGCTGAGTGCTGTGTGACTGATGTCTCTGTGGCGTCTCCCTGCCCAGGACTGGTGGGGGCTGCCCCCCTCCTCTGTGCATGTGTGTGCCTTCGTATGTCACTGGATCAGGTGAAATCGAGAACATCAGTCTTTATATAAATAGGGGAGACATCCACACTAAAAACAAATTTTACCAAAAATAGATCACTCCGTTTGTGCTGCTAACTGGTTAAGGACGATCTTGTTTTTTGGATCAATGTAATTCCTTGCTGCTGCTATGACTTTAACTTTTTATAGGCTCAGACTTTGTATTTTAGGGGTCCTCACCTGTTCAAAAATGTAATCCAGTGCTAAATTAGTTGTGGTATCAGTCTATCATTTCACAGGGAAATCTAACACACACTTGAAACAGAATTTGAACCTTGAATTTCTACTTCAAAAAACATACCTTTGTCTTTTTTTCCTTATTTCCCTCATCAGTCTGTCTTTCCCATTTAAGTTCTGTGGATAGAAGTATGGCTTTTTAGAGACTTTTTTTTTTTTTTTAATGTATTTGTTTTTGGGGGGAGAGAGCATGTGCTTGAGTTGGGGGAGGGGCAGAGGCAGAGGGAGAGAATCTCAAAACAGACTCCACGTTGAGTGCAGAGCCTGACTTGGGGCTCAGTCCCATGACTCATGAGATCAGGACCTAAGCTGAAATCACAAGTTGAGCGCTTAACCGACTGAGCCACCCAGGTGCCCCTACAGATGTTTTTAAAATGGTTTGTTTCATGAATGTGTCAGTTTTATCCAAATTAAGATAATTTTCATCCTGTGTAATTCTAAACAGGGCATTTCTAGCATTTGCCTTAATAGCTGGAAGTAGGCTTTCTCAAGGGTTTCTGCAAGTTTTCACTGCTGTGTGTTCATGTTTAGTTTGCCCTTGTACTAGAATTTGAATCTTTGTTATCACATTATTTGGGGATTTCAAGTTTCAAACCCTTCTTTCTAGAACCTGTTTTATGTGACCATGTGTTTCCTGGAGAAGGGTGCTGACTACAAGCTCTCACTAGATTCCTGAATTGTGTCTGATCTGAAGAAACTGAATTTCAGTAGTCTGAGGCTGTCCTTTTATTTAAAAGTTTATTTATTTAATCCCTACACCTAACATGGGGTTTGAACGCTGCATGCTCTTCCAACTGAGCTAGCCAGACGCCCTTGTCCTCTTTATTTTTAAAGATTTATTTATTTTAGAGAGCGTGCACAAGCAGGGGGGAAGGCAGAGGGCGAGGGAGGGAAGCAGACTCTCCGCTGAGCAGGGAGCCCGATGCGGGGCTCGATCT